GGACATCTGGGCTCTTTCCATAGTTTGGCTATTGTGGACATTGCTGAAGCAGCATTCTCTGTTCTTAGTGGCTCCCAGTGTTGAGGGTGTGCCGAGATCTGTCAGTGTCAGCACCTCGATGCAGGCTAATTGGAAGCTGGGCCCTCTCTTTCAGAGGAAGCCTGTGGGATGGGTGTTTCTGTCCACTGCCTCTGCACTGTACCGGGGGGTGGGAGTGGATAGCTGATGAAGAACTGTTTCTCTGTTACAGTCCCATAGGCCTGAGGAATATAAGCCCCACTGGCCACCAGAGCCAGGTGATCAAGGGGCATTTCTGGGGAATAGCTGCACAAATCAGGACACCAGCCATGTGCCGAAGCTCCTTTATGGGAGACACCAGTGTCCTGGAATGAAGCAGAGGGAGAGACGAAGATAGCATCCTCTGGTTTCTGCAGAGTATCGTGATCTGCCCCTTGACATGTTTACATTAGAAGCCGGTCTCTCAGGCCACAGCCATTAAGAGCAAATAGGTATCTTTTAAGGAAGGACTGGGTGTTTCTGCATGCTGCCTCTGTACCGTGCCCTGGGGAGATAGCTGGTTAAGAACGGTTTCTCTGTCTGTTACAGTCCTGTGGCACCCATGAATGTAAGCCCAATTGGCTAGCAGAGCCAGAGGATGAAGGGGCATCCCCAGGATGATAGCCCCCAAAACCAGAGTGCCAGACATATGCCTAAGCACCAGGGACTGGCAACCTGGAGCAAGGCCAAGGAAGAGCATAAAAATAGCATCCACTGTCCTCTGGGGTCTCTGGGGAGCGTTGCAGTCCGTCACTACGTATGTATTCAATTAGAAGCCTGCCCCTTGGGCCGCAGCTATTAATAGAAGCAAATAGTCCTCTTTGAAAGAAAGACTGGGCCTTTCAGTCTGCTGCCTCTGTGTTGTGCCCTAGGGGGTTAGCCATGGTGAGTCTGCGTGAGCCCTTTAGCCCTTGTCTCCTCATTCACCATAGGTTTGTGGATCTCATGGACACAAGCCCCTTTGGCTCTCGAAGCTAGAGGTTTAGGGGTCCCATATCTCTCAAGGAAGCCTTAAAAGTTGGGGTGCCAGATGTGGGGTCCAAACCCATCACTCCTCAGGGAGAAGCTGGGAGTTGTGTTTCCTCCTGGTTGTGCGGCACTGTGCAAGGGATGGGGTTTACGGTGACATTGTGTCTCCGCCTCTCCTCCCGATCTTGTCATTTGCTCCATATGTGTAGGGGTCACTCAGCTAGTTTCTGGGTTTCTTACAGAGGGACTTGTTCTGTATGGAGGTGTAGATGGAGTGTGTCTGTGGGAGGAGGTGACTTCAGGAGGCTCCCATGTTGCCGTCTTAACTGCAACTCTCTGAAAGTGTGCCCATTTTACACAGATCATCTACAGTAATACCTAGGAAAATATTAAGATTTTCCAGGTGAACCTAAAGGCTTAAGAATAACTAGGTTTTAAAATGTATACCAAGTGGAGAAACCTGGAGGTACCACCCTCCCCAAGGCTGAAGTTAACATCACCAAGAATGGGACAGACCATTGTAACATGACTCCTGCTCTGATGTGCTGAGGACACACCGTCGCTTGTGTCCTATTCCTGCCAAAAACACATACCCTGCATCTAATCACGAAGGGCACCTAAGACAAACCCAAAAAATGGAGGCACATCCTACAAAGTCACTGGCTTGTACTCTTAAAACATGTCAAGGTCTTTGAAGACAAAGGCAGAGAAACCATTCCGGATGAAGGAAGATTAAAGAGACAGGACTAAATGTCATGAGCTCGTGAATTAGATCCCAGACCAGATCAGGGAAACATACATAACTATGAAAGACATTGCACAGTGACAACATTTGAATGTGGCTGTGTAGATGTTATCTTTAATGTTAAGTTTCTTTATTTTGATCATGGTCATGTGGTTACGCAAGAGAATGTTCTAGTTTTTAGAAAATTTACCTTAAGTATTTAAGCATAAAGGGGCATGATGTCTGAAACTTAACTCAAGACGGTTCAGGAAGAAAAGACTCTATATGGAGGGAGAAAGTGAAAGGTGCAACATGCAAACAGTTGTTGAATCTGGATAAAGCGCATATAGGGGTTCTTTGTGCTATTCTCGCAATGTTTCTGTGAGCTTGAATGATCTCAAATTAGGGAAGAGCTAAAACTTGATGTGTGTATGTAAAATAATACAAATGCACATTCCCATACGTAGGTATAGAATTTAAGCCTCATGTTACTATATATAATCTTTGCTGTATAAGAAAGGCACTCGGAGGGTAGCTGGGTGGCTCAGTCAGTTGAGTGTCTGCCTTTGGCTCAGGTCATGATCGAGCCCCACATCGGGCTCCCTGCTCAGTGGGGAGTCTGCTTGTCCCTCCCCCCCACTCTTGTGCTCTCTTTCTCTCTCAAATAAATAAAGTCTTAAAAAGCCACTCTCAAACATCCCCAAACTTCTCTCTCTCTCTCACACACACACACGATATCGTTTATTATGGAAAGTCTGATGTGTTGCTGCTCTCATATTTTCAAGTAAGTCCGTGAGATCACAGCACTGTGCTGTCCATGGAGTGATGGAGAATGTATTGGTCTACTAGAGTAAAACTTCCTGCTCTAGTAGTCATGCTACTGTGGGAAAGAATTCGATTCGTTTCCTTGCTACACTTAATTTGAAGGAAAGTGTCTGCGTGTGTGCCAGTGCTTATGTTGGTATTCATTCCGCCATTAGAGTATTACAAATTCAGGGAATCACATCACCGCTCCACAGGACCTGTCCCTTCATCTGGGTGCTTTCCCCTAAACACACATTTTGCTTGCTGGTGCACGGTCCGCACCAGCTTGATCCATTTTACATTTTGACTGAAATAATTCTCTCCCCTCCAACCTGGGCCAAGTGTGGAATGGAAAGCGAAGTGCCCTCCTCAGAGTCCTCTGCACACAGGTGTGGTGGACATGGTGACGTGTTGGGTTCCTCAGTGACCTAGTTTCGTGCCATCTGAACAGCCAGTCGGGGTGTTTCAAGCAAAGGCAGGTTTGGGGAATGGCAGGGCGGGATCCAGGATGGACTGAAATACGGTGAGAGGTAGTCTTGGTGTATGTGGACTTCAGGGGCCATCTTTCATGACTGTAGTCGCTTGGGCCGGTGTCATCAGCCCACCTTCAGAAACTGAGCAGGTGATTCCTAGCAGAGATGCCATACTCGGTTATCATTCTTAATGAGCTTGACCCTCTCCTCTTATTCCCAGAATCACTAGAATAGACTTTACCGAATGGACTTCACAATTTCTTTGGACTCCTGGGGTGTGAACAGTTGGGGAACTCCTGTCCATGCATCGTGGTCAGAGGCAAAGATCACCCCTCCTTAGGGGAACTGACACGGCTCCTCCTTTGCCTCGCCTCTTCTGCAGTTGGGACAGAAGCAGAGCAGGGCAGGGGCAAGATCTCCCGGGGAATCTCCCTCTGGTGCCGATCATGACTTCTGTGTGGTTAGGGCTATCCTCCCCACAACCAGTTCTGAGGTATCCTTTTAGGTGAGACTCCTATTGCTCCAACTGCCCCTTAGATTTGGTGCTGTAAATGGTAACGGAAGTGATGAATTCTCTTGAGAAGCAAATGTAAATTGCATACTGGTTAATTCATCCACTTGTGAGGACTGAAACAGGAAACCAAATGAGCACTGTGACTATTGCTGCACCCAAATGATCTCCCCCAGCTCCACACACTAGCCACTTTTGGTCCAGAAACCTCACCTGTAGGATCCCACAGATAAGATTTTGGCACAAGTGAGACGACATGAAAGATGTGCAGTACTGTTTGTCGCAGAAGGCGGAAAACAGCCCACATGTCCCACCAAAGAGGACAGCTTAAGGGGTATCCCATTAACCTACACTGGAATATTATGCAGCTATAAAAAAAAGGAGAAGGCATTTTATATATCAAGATGGAAACATTTCTTGTGATATAATTAAGAATGGCTGGATCCCTTGAGTCCATTCTTAAGTTTAAAAAAGCAAGGTATAGAGGGCGCCTGGGTGGCTCAGTCTGTTAAGCGACTGCCTTCGGCTCAGGTCATGATCCCGGAGTCCTGGGATCGAGTCCCACATCAGGCTCCCGGCTCAGCAGGGAGCCTGCTTCTCCCTCTGACCCTTTCCCCTCTCATGCTGTTTCTCTCTCTCTCTCTCTCTCTCAAATAAATAAATGAAATCTTAAAAAAAAAAAAAAAAAGCAAGGTATAGAGCTGGGTGCACAGAAAGAGATCTAGCTCTGGTGTCATGAAAGGACAAAAGTAGGAATGTGTGTTTAATTGTTTTCATGATCGTGATTGTTTGGAAGGAGACACAAGAAATTGCCATTTGCTCACAGGCCTGTGTGATGTGGGAATAGGGTATTTTCACCACTTGACTTTCTCGATTTTTCACCCGTCAACCATATGAATGTTACTACCCAGTTAAAAATTAAAAACAAAGTACTGTACTCGACACTTTTTTTTGTAACATAACTGCGTGCTTTATTGAGATACACAGTAAAGCAGTAATATAATACAATAGTAAGGCATATATTTGGTGAAGTCTGATATGTTGTGAAAATGCAGTAAAACTGAAGTTTAAAAAAATAATTAGTAAATGTTACAGTGTTGGTGTTAAAACACAACATATTATGATACTCAAGTAAGAACCCAGTACCTGAAAACAATGACAGAACATGCCACGTGATGTTTATGCTTCAGTTACATTATGATTTACAGTTTAATACTTGGTGGTTATAAAGAACACGAAATAATGTCCAAATTATGCTTAAAACGTAGCAATAAAGCTCTCAGTTTTTATTCAAATATTTTGACAGACTCATTCCAGAACTAATGTCTAAAAGATAAAATGAAAAGATTAAAACAAAATTATGCACTCTATTTACCTCTGCTTTTAGAATGAAACTTAAAACTGCTTAGTAGGAAGTAACACAACCCGTTGTTTTTAATCGTGGTTAAAAAAAAAAAAAAACCCGCGGGGAAAGAAAAAGTCCAGTGTCACATAAAGGAAAAAAATGCAAGACTAAAACCAAATCTTTGTCATTCTGTTACCTTAGAGCTTTGGGTTTTCTTTTGGAAATGACAATGGGGGGAAAAATGGAGAAAAATGTTCACATGATGGACAAGTAGTGAAGCTGTGAAATCAGGTGTGCACGATTATTAGGAACACCCCAAAACCAAAGTGAGGTAGAAATAGCATGAGAAGCCATGGTGGATGTTAATTATCATTAAGAAAATAATAGACAAAACCCACTGTGCAAAAGTTAATGACACTTGACCTAAGAGGTAACAGATTTGCAAAATAATGGGGTCACAGGGTGATTTCTAGTGAATGGATGATTAAAAACAAATGAAAGGCTAAGAAGATGTGAGAGTAAAGCTTGCTCCTACCAGTTAGTCCTCTTGGGTTATTCTCTTTTTGCACAATGTTTGTTTGTTTGTGTCTCTAACCTTCCTCCTCCAGCAGCAAGGAGTGGAGTACCCTTTGGAACATGTGACTCCATCTATGTTTTGCCTTAAACCAACCCGCGTGTAATTACTTGTAGAGAAATGGGAAGTGGGGAAACAAAGCTCATGGGCTTCTGGGTGGATATTTAAGAGGCATGCTGAGGCTGTCTTACACCTCTTCCCAAGAGTTATTTGAAGTGAAGTCTTGTGGCATTTAAAAACTCCTTGCAATGGGGAAACATATCTTTAAAAAAGCAAGAAAGCAAGAAAGCAAAACCCCCTCAAATACCCCTGCTGTTTCACTGTGAGAGGGAAGAGTGTGATTTCACTGTAATTACAAAGATCTCTATGTATGGTTATGAACGTTCATCCAATCCTTTACTTCAAGAGCGGCCCCCTCCCTCCCATGGAATTGGCTGCAAATCCACAGCCCTCTGACCCTACCAGGAAGTCCTCCTTACTGTCTGGGGAGTTAAAAATGTCTTCTGGTGGCGTGACTTCCACTGAAGCATGATTACATGTAGATGGTGGCATTGCCAGTCGCGGGAAGCTGAATGTATCAACTGAAGGATTACTTGGACGCAGTAAGTCCTGTGTATTCATTCATTGTCCCTTTTACAAAAATGCAATACTGTAGCTGTCAGTGGAGAGTTCCAAATGAGAAACATCTGGAGGCCCAGACAATGTCTTAGTGTGGTAGTTGCTTCCTGGTTTCAGGCTCCAGGGAAAATTCCTTCTAGATAAAGCAGGTAAGCCTGGGTGACCAGAAGCAATCTCTTTCCATTAGGAAGTGGCCAGATCATTTGAACAAAACGTTTAAAAGGTCTCTAGAAAGTCAGATCTATTTAATCTATATACCTACAGTATTTACATACTTCTAGACATATAGATGCGTAAAGCGAAAACCCACAGCCAGTCCCACTCAGTCACCGATTCCAAAAAGAGCGAAGTGATGTAGTTGTTTGGTGGTGTTAGAGGAAGTCCTATCTTTACTATGCCAGAAAAGAAAAAACCATGAATTTCACATGGATATCACGCTAAAACGATGCAAAACAATGCACTGCCTCAAAGTTTGTGTGTGTGTGTCTGTGTGTCTGTCGGTGTGTGTGTGTGTGTGTGTGTCTGTTTTTAGGGGTTTTTATAAACAACTTTTTTTTATAAAGCACACTTTAGTTTACAATCTTTCTTTATAACTGTTATAAATTTTTAAACAACCCAAAATGCGTTCCATATAAAGAAATGGCAAGTTATTTAGCTATCAAGATTTTACATGTAGTTTTCTTATAACTTTTTTGTACAATTGCATAGACGTGTAAAACCTGCCATTGTTAACAAAACAATAACAGACTTAGAAACTACTGAAATCTACAGTATAGTACCACTACCCTTCACAAAAATATAGATTTTTTTTCTTGTAAACTCTTACTGTCTAATCCTCTTTGTTGTATGAATATTATAAAAACCATGCGGGAATCAGGAGTTGTAAAACATTTATTCTGCCCCTTCTTCATCTGTCATGACTGAAACTAAGGACTCCATCGCTCTGCCCAAATCATCTGCCAAGTGGAAAAGGCTTCCTACATTGTGTCCTGGAAAACAAAGAGAAAGAGAGACGTGACACTAGGTGCAGATTACATCAGCCTGACTCTTCGCCGTTTGGGAGATCCTTCCCCACTTCTAGGTGAAGACAACACAGAAGCTGCACCGAGGGTCTACACAATAGGATTTGATTGTTTCCCCATTTCCAGGAAGAAGCAAAGCCTTGTTAATGAAGCCATTCCACGTTGTTAGTATCAGCTTACTACCGGGTCAGGCTACTACTGTGGTCATTTCAGTGGGAAAGTGTCTGAGAGCGCACTCATCTTCCCAATGGAAGCCTCTAGCCAGAGGCTTCCACGGAGAAGCACAAGGTTCCCGTCGCAACAGGACTATTTCCCAGTGGGAGGGACCTTCCCCGCCCTGTCGTGGGAGATGACTTACTGTGCCCTTGGACTCGAATCTCGGTATCGTCAGCCCCTCTCCCCAGACCTATCCCCACTGCCAGCGCCACCAGGTCTCGTCATCACCATTCTCATCACTGCCACCATGATCACGGCACGGGATCTTCACTTCCGTGCTCTTTCAAGCCGCCAGCTCATGTTTAAGGCTACGGTGGAGGAGATTGTTTTTTCTCTGCTTTTACTTGAGTTGAAAAAACAAACTCTTGAATCAACCTTTTCGTATATTAACATTGAAATTTGGAAGCTACCTCAGAAAAATCACTCTTCATTCTAAATGACTCCACAGCCCAGTTACCATATGACCTATATGCAGAGCATGGGTTTGGGTATCTGGTGAATCCATTTTTGTTCTCCTCCTAAATGGGGGCTAACTATCCGAAGAGCCTTTTAATAATAATGTGACATGACCTAACATTGATCCCCCAGCATGGAGCCCAAAAGCAGGGCCATGTCCCTGCTACTCGGTGGCAGAGTTCAGATCTAGGGGAAGATAATCTGAAACCTACTTTATGACTTGCCTTTTCCTATATGTTCCATATTTTTATATGGCTAATTTTAATTCTTGGACATTACTAAATCATTCCCTGCTCTTGGAGTACTGCCCCTGGAACTAAAAATGCTTTACGAGGCTATTACTACCTTGCCATGTATCAACTTTACGGATTCTCATAATTGTTAAAATCCCTGTAAAAATTAAAGATAGACTAGGGCAGGAATTCTGTTCTAGTATTTACTTCAAGAGCCATACCGTTTTTCAGTACATGAGAGAGAGGGTGTGAAGAGGATTCAGAGGCAGGCACTTATCCAGTGATGGCATCAGATCAAGTTAAGACTTAACTAAAAGTTTTACACCCTTCGGCCATTTACGCGAAGGTGATCACGTTTGTAAATCTTGTTGAGCTTTATCAGCGCAAAGAGTTTCAGTGAGAACTAGTTAGGTTTTAAAAAATCACGTGGGATTTTGGTTGAGATGGCAAAGAGTTTAAAACCTGAACAAAGTAGCTGTTCTACTCCTAGAGCAGGCCGGGAGTGTGGCAGCCCTCAGTGAAGAATTGAAATCATCTTTGGCTTTTCTAAACCACAGAAACCACCGGAGGACCCAGTAGGTTCTTTGCTGCTCCTTAGAGCACCCTATTATACCTGATGCCACCAGGCTAAAGGGCTTCCTTTGTATCTGTTTTGGACGGCCCAGCAACCCTGGGAGATATATACCCAATTATTTGTGCGTAACTGGAAACGAGTGGACGACCTGCAAATTTTTAATGACTTGCTGTCTTAGCAGCGATTAATGAAGCCAGTACAAACAAAACCCAAGACCCTGACAACCTGATACCTGACTAGAATTCACACCATTTCTCATCACCCACATCTAGCTATAGTGGAGTCTACCAGGGAGGTAGAGAATGTATTACAAGACCTAAACCGAACAGGGAAGAACTCATTTTTCCCATTAGCTTATTGATGATAATCAAAAAGTACCTATTTAAACCTGTGTGCTAGGGAATGTGGCATGCAGTTCACAAGTGAATGCATTGCTTCTACTCCTTGAAATGGTGTTATTACCCAGAAGGAAAATTCTTCAGACTCTCCAGAGGCATCATTTCTAGGGGTATCTGCTATTTAAAAAGTGACTAGGTAAAAGAAAGGTTGATTATTCTTAATACACCTCACACCCTCCCACAAAAGGTGAGGTGGCCTTTCACCTGTCTGGATAGTTTTAAATGTTCACAAATGACCTCAGGTTCTCCCTGTGCTAGAAAAAAGAACCTTCAGAGTCCCCTCACCACATCTAGAGTATGCCTTTGGTTACTTCATTCACAGATACCTGTTTCACCAGAATAATGATGGCAATGTTTTTCATGGAGGTTTGCATTAGAGCCAGGAAAAAAAATTCTATCTCTTTGACAAAATACTGCCCCAAAGAATCATAACTCAATCCACTGGAGGCCTAAAACCGCAGTGTGATATGGACACAGAAAACAGATTTGTATCCTGGTTCTGTGATCCATGTGTGTGAGGCAGAACATTAGTGAGGTCATTAATTTTACCTGACAGATTTTTCTGAAGCCAAAATTAAAATCTCATACTATGATGTGACAGGCACCGAGAAGCGTCTGCAGTTGGCTTCAGGCCCAAATCAGGCCCAAATGCGTCCACAGAAAGTATTTGTTTAATCCATTCTTAAGCGAGGATTGTTGAGCACAAAGGCGCCATGCATTGAACATTAGGGCAGTGCTATGTTTTTCCAAGTTGGCGCGAACTGCAACACGTTTAGTCTCCCAGGCCACTGCCGCCTGAGGGACTTGTTTTCCGCAGTGATTGGAATGGAGACTTTCTGGCTGCGACCCAAGACCTCAAATAGCAATCTGGCATTCTACTTTTTTTTTTTTTTTTTTTTTTAAGTACAGTTCCTAAATAAATGTTTAGCATTCACTTGGCCACAGCAAAGCTGGAGTGGTGCAGTGAAATTTGTGTTTCTCTTCTCTATAATTTAATCTTTGAAAAACTATCTGATCTACTGTAACTCTGAGGTAATTTTTGTAACAATAAAAAAAAAATCACTTTGATTCTTGGGTCTTCTGGAAACGTAACTGGACTGTAATATGGCTCAGGTAATAAAGTTTCCGAAGGCCTCTGTGACTTGAATGATACACGGGCGGGCCTTTTCTAAGATTTGTGCATGAGAGAAACATGTTCAGGGCGGTCACATTTAAGGTGCAGCTTTTTATAAGACGGTAAGAGAAACTGTAAGGGACACTTACCATAAGAATGAACCCAAGAAGCCTCACATAAGAAGTACGTGAGCCCGGCAAACTGTCAGGAGCATTCACTGCTTCACCAATTCAGGTTTCCTGTGTTTTTCCTCCCAGCCTACCCCTCCCCAATCCCTAGGACCCCAGTGTCCTAAGCCTTGGAAGAGAGCACTGGTGCAGACATGAAAGGATCATTAAAGTCATTACACTCGCCTGGCCTGGTGTTGGCAGACTTCCGGTATGACTCCTTATGTTCAAATGAATCTGAGCCTACTCTCGTCTAGCCTGTTGCTAAGGATCTAGAATCTTCTCATGTCAGCACTCCCTCCCCGTCCAACCCGTCTCCCAGGATAGTAGATGTTACGGCCACCCATGGAAGAGCTTTCCTTCTCCCATCCTTCACGCTAAACTCCTGGTAAGGACAAGCTGGTTTCCCTCGGGCTGTCACTCAACACTCTGTCATCTACTAGTCCTTTGATGAGGTAACTGAACGTTCAGACGCTCTTTCTGATAAAAGTACACAGCAGCTTTCCCTAAAAAACCTCACACCACATTCAGTGATAATACTGCACCCTGCCCCCTTTTATCCCACAAATAGGCACTTAAAAACACCCTCAGGACTCCAACATTCAATTTTTATCTCTGACTTGTTATATTCTATCTGGGTTTCCAAAGGTCAAGCGAGAACAGAGCGCTTTTCTACAGGGCTAGCCGACGTGATGCGAGACTTTTGGACACCATTTTCTCAGGTGGCAATTCAGAAGAGTGTGGCTCTGGATGCTGACTGCCTGGATTCAAATTCTGGCTCTGTCACCTTGAACGCACTGCTTACTTTCTCACTGACTCAGTTTCCCTGTTTGTAAAATGGGGTTAATAAGAGTACCTACCTCTTAGGTTTGGCATGAAGATTACCTCATGAAAAAGATGGCGAGTGCTTACAACCGTGCTTGGCACAATAAGTGCTCAAAAAAAAAAATGTTAGCTGGAGTGGGAAAGGAGTGTAGGAATGAGAAAAAAAAATAAAAACAAAATGAAGTCATTCCAGAAGAATAAAAAACCCAGGGCACTGGCAGAAAAATGCTAGGGTCCTGAAAGTACACAGAAACTTGAGGACTCCTCAGTTCTGTTCGAGGCTAAATTTACGTTGAGGGTTTTGTTTGCGTTACAAATGGCAACAGATGATGAACTGCACGCTAACGACCTAGGGACTACCAAGGGTTGCCATTTTATAGAGATTCCTGCTCCCCCAACCCCTGGTCCTGTCGTCATGGTGATGACAATGGCAGTGAACATTTGAAGAATGTTCCTCATGAGCTGCAAGTGGAGAGGTGACTACCATCCTGACATGATGACACATGTAGTACATACATGCGCGTGCACACACACAATTCTTACACAAACGCCAAACACAGAAAGCGCGATGAGACACACAGAAGCCGTGGCTGTGAGCCTGAGTCTCACTAACCTCTCTCATTGGCTTCCCAGGGGTATTTCTTCCTTTAATAATGGAGAGAGGAAGAGGCAGAGATATCAGAAAGGAAAAAAAATGCATAAATATACAGTTTCATACCAATTTTGCTGCTTTTACCAAACAAAGGTTGAGATGACAGTTCATTTATTCCCTTCTGGAAAAAAACAACAGCAACAACAACAACCAGAAACAAACAAACCCGAAGGACACATCCAGTCAAATAACCTTTACATACACTTAAAATCAGTGTAAAACAGGTAACATGATCCAGGAGACATAACTTACAGAATCCATAGAGGTCATGTGTTCAACTGGATGAAAGCTGGTACAGCAGAGGAATCGAACAATTGAGCATTGTTTTTCAAGGACAACTTTAGAACCTCAAGCTTAATGTCCAAAAATCTCAATCTCTTCACTCTCAGCTGGACAATACACCGAAACATAAACGGGAACGGATGTGTGTGCCAAAAGTCTGCACCCCAAATACAAGGCGAAACGCCACAGAGGCGGGACTCCACCCCCTTGGGAGAACTCCTTCTATCTGGTAGAAGCTGAGCATGCCCAGGATGAGACTGGGGGCATTTGAGAAAATAGAAAAAAAAAAAAAAGAGGGGAAGGAGATGAGTCTCACTAAGGGGCAAGCCACAGAGACAGATCCAGGAATGAACCCTCAACTTCCTTCTCCTAATTCAACAGATACCAGGAACCTTGAGAGTTGATGGCTAAAGACCCACTGGCCTTGTTTATTTTAGAGAATCCTCCGACTGTATGCATTTATTTATTTTTGAAAAGCAGGTTCTGGTCAAGTTTTCTATGGTAATATTTATAATTGGACAGAATACTAGGGACCTCTGACCATACCTAGCATGTCTGGGGCTTGCAATTTCCTCTCATCACCAGGGCCTTCAAGTGAAATACTGGTTTTCAGACTCTGACTTGAGCAGATAAAAATAGAGCTGTGGGAGACCCTGTACAGCATCTCCTGACCCCCCCCCAACGCCCCCCACGCTCAGCGGCTGCAAGGACTAAAGCACCCTGGAACAATGCGAGGACTACTCGTCCAGACCAAAGAAGTATGGCCCTACCATTCCAAAGCAATCTTTCACAATTCAAGTTCAGGGTCTAAAACTTCTAGGATACATTGAAAGGTTTTCTAAGTAGGACTCTCCCTCCCTCCTTCTTTTCCTTCCTTCTGAATTTTCCCAAGTGAGTCAGAGATTTCTTAGAAGTATAAAAACTGCAGGGGCGCCTGGGGGCTCAATTGGTTGAGCGTCTGACACTTGGTTTTGGCTCAGTTCGTGATCTCAGGGTCTCGGGATCGAGTTCCGCATCGGGCTCTGTGCGCAGCATGGAGTCTGCTTGGGATTCTCTCTCCCCTCTCCCTCTGCCCACCCCCTACTCTCTCTCTCTCTGAAATACATAAATCTTTTTTAAAAAGTATAAAAACTGCATGCTTGATCATATAAGCATGGTCAGGATATTCATGATGTTCTTCAAACCAGGGGAAAGAGAGAAAAAGGGGTACTGGCTCTTTAGTTGTGGGTGTTGCCAGTGGTAGGCCCATACCAGATGAAAGGAAAAAGGGGAGGGAGGAGAACATCAGTTCATTCTTAATAGCTCAGATGAATCCCAGCATGAATTACTCATCCATTCCTTTCCACTCCTTTATCAAGTCCTTTTTTCATCTTTGTTATTTTGTGGTTACACTGTCTCATAGAATTCATTCCCTTCCCCTATAAGACTGTGAGGTCCTTGAGGCCGGGGCCCATATATCGCTTACCCATCTTCTGTATCCCCAGTACCTCCTGTACCTCAATACTATGGGACGCTGATGAATGCTGGTTGAATTGAATTAGTCAGGTAGCCACTAGACCACGGTCAAGAGTCCTTTGGTGTTTGTGGCAACCTGGCCTTGCCCGTTACCCTTTAAGTTGCGTGCCAAGGGCTGGTAACTTGTTCTGGCTTACACTTTGGTCTATTTTTAAAACTTAAGAGCTTCAGGAAGGAGTGTTGTTAGAAAGCAGTATGATTTAGTTTCAGAATGTCATTAGTGGTTCCCTGAGTGATAAAGGTTACATGTCTTTATCCTACACCAAGCCGTATTTGAGCTCAGTATCCACTGGCCACTGCCAAATATGCAGCAAATGACTTGGGTTTTGTTTTGGGTACTTCTTCAGAAGCCATGTTTCACGTACAGTGGGCCTTCCAGAGCTACGTTAATCCTGATCGCTTTCAAAATCCGCCGTCATCACTTGGGTTCTGATGAGCTCACTACCACAGTACCAAAGGAAGTTCTGCTTTTTGTTTAAAGAACGTTAAACAGTATTTTCTACTGTCGCGGACTAGTTTCTACACTGACAAAACAGAGGCTATTTTGGTTGCGCCACTTAAAAACATTCTTTACCAGTAATAAAAGCTTCAAGTGCCAGTTAAGTTTTATTTCATGAATACATTCTTTGGAAATGAGTTTCCTTAGACCTTCACTTAGGGTGTCCATCTGGCAATGTGGGTATGTTGTCAGGAAATGAATCAAGAGAAGAAGGAAATAGGCTGGGGGAGCCCTGCGTCTGAATACAGGGCGTGGTCAGGTCTGGAGAAGTCAAGTTTCCTCAGGCAGTAGGAACTTGAGATGATTCATTATTCAGGGTCAGAATCTCAGGACATGGCTGTTTTGGGGGGGGGGGGGGGGGAGCTGTAGCTTCTTAATCTTTGTTCACTAACTGAAAAAGTTAAGGAAGAATGAGTCCCTTTTTAGAATTTCTATGTTATCACAAGTGAAAGAAAATTCTAATGGCTGTACTTTGAAGATTGAAACATGTATGATGTCTGGTGAACACGGACATAAATACACAAGTCCATTCAAAAGCACAGTTTTGTCGAGCTGAAAGTTGATCGGCACCGAGAAGTGTGTGACCGAATGGACGGAACAAGCTAGAATGAACGACAGCGTAAAGCAGGGGTCGGCAAACTTTCTGAGTAAAGGGCCAGACAGTAAACAGTTTAGGCTTTGCAAGCCACACGCTCCCTATAGCAACTGTTCAACTTTGCCACAAGTACCCCCTCCTTGGGGTGAGAAAGCAACCATCGGCAAAGTGTAAATGAATGGGGGTGGCTAGGTTCTAACAAGACTTAAAAACAGGTAGTGGGCCAGATTTGGCTCCTGGGCCACAGTTTGTTGGCCCCTGGTGTAAAGGAATAATAGCTCAAAATTGATGGAAGCTGACAGGAAACAGAGTGGTTCCCGAAAGGGGACACGTGATCTTGTCTTGATGCAGTTCTTCCATAAAAGAACCACAGATAAGACTTGCATTTTAGAACATGGCACATTTTGCACTGCTGTTGGGTGGCTAATTTAGAGGCAGTTAACAGAATGGGCTTTATGGAGGGGGGGGTCATATGAGAGAGGACGGCATGGATGTTGGGGAGAAAAATAATATGGCACAGGTCACTAGGTAAGACATTGTACAGACAACAGAAATAGAAATAGAAAAGCACCGTTCGCTGTGTTTTGAATTGTCCTGTTGCACTAAGAGCTTATCTTGGATCCTAGTGTTCACTAATTGGTATACAGTGGCACCTGACTTTTAGAGAAGCCAATACCATACCACTGACTATGGAAGCGTTTCTTTTGTAAATGCACATATATATGAAAATACCTTTGTCAGAATGCAAAACTATCAGAGACATAGGGACAAGTCACTTAAATTGTTTATTTTAAAAATACGTTTATTACACATTCTACCCATGTACTGTTCCTATAGAATAAGGGTGGAGATTTAGAAAGTGCCTTATAGTAGAAAATGATTTTTATTACAGTGGAATTCAACTTTTACATATATTTATAGACAGAGGGCACATTACTGGTAGATAAATAGATTAGAACTTGGCAAATGTTCTGTGTTTAATATACAGTGAGCCACTGAAATCCCTCAAGTGGTTGCAAATAACTTTGTCTAGAGATTAATCAGGAAAGGTATCAGCATAAAGCTAAACACACGCACATTCATGCCTTGAACACCCCGCAATTTATAGGGGCTATTATTCAGGACAGTGTTGGCTAGCAGTTTTTCACTAGAGGGAGGAGCACGCAACCCCTTTATTAATTTGGATAACAGTTTAGCAAGGCCAGCGAGATAAGATCAGGGGTTTATTTTAACTTGCCAAATGGCCATGAATAAGGCGCTTCCGGCTTCCAGGGGCTTGGGAGTGAAAATGCAAGGGGAAGATTAGCTGATACCTTAAGACTTGAGCCTGAAGTCAAGACTGGCAAAGGGTAACAAATAAGTTGTACATTTAAAATGCAAAACTTCCCTATTTATACACTTTACATGTGTGAAAAGCATAATATTTTATTTAAAAAGTCTTTTCCTCTGTGGGCAATTATCTAGCAGAGTTAAGTAAACCATGAGGTGGTATTTAATAGCACATTTCCACTAAATGTCAGACCTCTGGCTCTGACATCTGTTTTGAGTTACTCAAACAGCTGTCCGAAACAGCTGTAGCAACTGTGAACTTCATTCTAACACAGCAATGGGAACATGGGCGGCAGACTTAGATTAAAAGCACGATGTCCGCTGAGATATTAGGAAGGTCTTGGCAGAAACAACTTCCATGATGGAACTTTTAAAAAAATGTAATTTTTTAAAAAAGATGTGCACCTGGGCAAGGAAAACCGAGATCAGTCAGATCTGTATTTTTTTAAACCACTGGATCTGAAAATCAACTAAGTGGGTTGCAACCAGCATTTTATTTTTAAATACATAAAATAGAGAAACAGTGTGAATTAATTGGAGATAGGAAGTGTTGGTTCACGAATCTTTTGTTTCTGATCTTTGTATGTGTATGTGACTAGACACATGTGTGGCGTACATACATGGTATATACGTGTGTGTATACACAGACACACAATGTATTTTATATCCTTAATCCAGTTTGAGATGTAAAATGTTTCTCCTGGCATGGATAATGGTCAAAAGGTCAAAAGCCACAGTTTGGGTCCTCAGAAATGCCAAAAGGACCTTTTGGGGCCCTTCCTTTTTGGATGGTCTGTAAGCCTAAGATGTTTGAGACTCAAAATTTTCTGCTTAATATCAACCTAACATACCTCCCGATTGGTAAGATGCTCCCACTAAATCCTACCATATATATATTTTTCTTTCTATTTTTACAATGATGAGAGTTTTTATCCATTTGAATTTGAGGAGAAAAGGGTGATTTAGAATTGTGATTGTGATTTAGAATTAAGAAATATATATTAGGTTTTAATCCCCTTTGAGGTCACAGAGCTCCTAAAACCTTTGGAATTTCCTGTGAAAAGAGGCAGCAAGGTATCTTTTGTAATGTTAATGAGGCAAGTCTTGGAAAACGCATAGGCACACTTAGGAGCTGGGTGCCAGGGGAGCCAACTGTGGGTTTAGAGGGTTGGAACTTTGAGCCCTACCCCCATGACCTCAGGAGACGGAAAGGGGGGCTGGAGACTGAGTGTAATCACCAATGGCCAATGATTTAAGCAATCACACCCATGTCAACGAGGCCTCCCGAAAAACCCAAAAGGACTGGGCAGGGAGAGCTTCCAGGTTGGTGAAGACGTGGATGTGCTGGGAGGGCAGCACACCTGGAGGGAGCCTGGCAGGCAGCTCCGCGCCCTCCCCCCCGCCCTTACCTCGCCCTACATATCTCTTCTATCTGGCTGTTTCTGAGTTCTATCCTTTCAGAGTACAGGGTGATCTGGTAAGGAAAACATTTCTGAGTTCTGTGAGCTGCTGTAGCAAAGTAATTGAACTGAAGAAAGGGGGTCGTTGGAACCTTTAAGTCTTTAGCATGGGGGTCAGGAGCCCAGGCAATAAACTGGTCTTGCAACTGGTCTCTGAAGTGAAGTGGGGGCGGTCTTGGGGGACTGAGCCCTCAAGCTGTGGACTCTGATACACTCTCCGTGTAGACGGGTGTCTGAAATGAGTTGGATTCTGGGACACCCAGCTGGTGTCAGAATTGCTTGGTGCTGTGGGAAGAGCTCCCACACATTGGAATTGGGTGCAGAATAGTAAAGGCCCAATTTTAAGGCCTAATTTGTCAGGAAGTAGTTTAAACAAAAAAAGAAAAAAAAGTGTCAAGGTAATAGCATCACAGAAAGAATAGCCAGATCCTGATTGTTTTCCTCAGGAAAATAAATTGTCTCAGGCCACCAGCCTACTACTGAAGAAGTAGGAACTCAGTTAATGGAATTGGTCAGACAAAGCCTCCTTATCCCCTATTTGAGAACTCAAATTAGCACTCAGGGGAAGGTACGCTTCCGTAAGTGTGGATTTAGTAAATACTATCCAGGTGGCCTAAAGTTCCCCAAGTTTCCATATAAGTAAATCAACATCACACAAGTGAATTTAACATCAGAGATGCTAACTGCCAAACATATCAGCAGTCTCTTTCTCCTCTTCTAGGTGGCTTCTTCCATACCCATGTGGTATCCAGCTTCAGGGACTAAAAGGGGGATGCAGGGGGAGGGTGCAAAGACCTTTCCCCTAAAGATGATGAGGATGGGTCACGGGCAGAGTCACGAGCTGTGCTGTAGCTTCTTATGCGCTATACTCTAGTTCAGATGGGAAAGGAAAGCAAAGCAAAGCCCAGGGTGTCAACATGGCAGCCACTAACTTCTCACAGAGCAGGTACACAAGCTTGTAGTTGAAGGCGCTGGGATGAGGTATCCATCTGTGACCTTCAAGGGATAGGCTGGGGCCACTGGAACTATGTGCTACATGGGGGGCCCAAAGTTCTAGCTGTGTCATCTTGAAGAAGACCCTTGCTGTGCCTAAGGTGAACCCCTCCTATTTAGGTCAAAGGGTGCTTCTGAGATTCACTCATGTCCTAGGCCTGTCCAGTACAGCAACAATACTATACTGTAGTGGGAACTCCGGAAATCTACATCCTCAGTTGACCATAAGCCCCTTGAAGGCAAGGAATCGGGCCGTCCTTGTTTGCATCCCTAAGCCTCCACTAGTACATAGTAGGCGCTCGTAGAAGCTGACGGGAGAAAGGGGAGAGCATCTGATATCTGTCCAACCAGCATGTGGTCTTCTCCTGAACCATGGCATCTGGGTAGAGAAGACAGCCGAGAGAGTCGTGATGGAGACTGAGGGTGGCAGGTGGGGGACGTGGGGGTGGAGGGAAGACAGAGAAGGTTCTTAGGTGTTAAAATCAACACATCAGAGGCACTCAGCAGTGAAAACATGGCTGGTGCAGACATTTAAAATTAGCTTCCCTGATGGTTCCTTAGCAACGCTCTAGGAGAGCGGTACTGCTTTTAATGAGCACCGCACAGTGTGTGCTCATACATCAAGCAGCTCAGAAACGGCCGTTGTTAGCTGACACGGAACAGAGAGATAGGAAAAACCCATGACTCCTGACAGCCTCCTCAATTGCTCTTATAGAGAGGAACAAATAGCCAGACTCTTGGCCGCCCTTCCCTCTGGGGCTGCCCATGAGGGGCGCCAGTCACTGGCCACAAAGACTTGTGTTCTCCCCTTTGGCTTGTCTAGGTTTTCCCTCCATTTGCTTATAGGCGGCTGCTGCCGTTCTTTTTATTCACTCAAGGGAGGTGGGTTAGTGACTGTTTTATGTCAGAGCAATAAACTAACATAAATATTCCAAAATGCTAACAATGGGAGCGAAACCTCCTTGGATGAACTAAGACATGTGAAGCTCATACTGGCTAGTGGGGTCAAATGCTGCTTTTATATGAGGGGAAAAATACACACGGGCAAAGGGATGGCGGGCAATAAGGGCATTCATATTATTAATGTCTTTCTTTGCAAAGATCGTATTCCATCTATGGCAGTGAAACCAACAACAACAGACTAGTATATAAAGATTTAATTGTACCTATATTTAAATAATGGGATAAGATACAATTTTTAAATATCAAGGGCATCAGAAGTCCAAGTCCCCACCACCACCGTATACTAGACATGTTCTAGATTTCACCGTATCGTGTGGTGTGTGTGTGTCCCGGGCAAAGGTGCCATCGGGGCATGAAGTTCTGTCTCTCAAAGTCACAGCATCATTGCTCTTAAGTAAAACCGATCTCATAATTAACTCTTCAGACTAATGCACAAAGGGAGTAAAGGTATACATTAATATTCTTCCTTCTAGAGGCATCTGAATTCTATAGGTATCTGAATTCAACCAGAATCCCAAACCAGTCAATTTGGTCATCCAAAACAGAACTGAGCCCTGAAAAATACTCGCTTCCCACAACGATCCCCACGTGGCACTCTGTCAGCACGTGCTCATTTAAACACGGAAAATACACAGGCTAGTCGGGTGTGGAAACGGGAGGCCTAATTCCAGTAGGCTTGAGTTACTTGCACATCGTGGAGCTTACCTCTGGAACTAGGGAAAGAGTTGTTGAGTTGTTCCATTACTTCCTCTAACCCTGCGCTTGTGTCCTGGGGAGGACTGAGCAGGTCTTCCTCGCCTGAACGAAAGCAAGCACAAACAATGGCACGTTACGCTTAAGGAAAACAGAGAGAAACTAGAGAAAAAGCCCACGATCACATTTAAAAAGTCATTATAAATTCATTTCCACTTGCTCGGAAATAGCACAAATAAAATTAACCCGTCAAGGCTGAATAATTAGGGAATGACTACTTCACGGGAAGAAGAATTCCATGCAGGGATTGATTTATGCCCTTGTCTTTGAAGAAAACGGTGTCTCTCTTCAGAAGTTAAGATAAAGCTGACGTAAGTTTCTTATGCCCTGTTAGTAGATGTGAACCGTTTTTCCCTTGTACTAGAAAAAACCGATTAGACACTTCCAGTGTGTCTCGTCAACACAAAAGGAAGTGAGTATGTGACATTTTGCCCTCACTTGATGAAGGTACGGAAGGAGTGGCAACCACAGAGGTGTCTTCCGCACTCTTTCCTTTGACATTGAACCACAAATACAAACAAAACTCAAGTACCTTTGAAGTCTAATGAGACAGGTAAATATTAAGTTTCAAAGGACTGTGGATATGGGGGATTCTGTGGTGGAAGATCCCTTTCCTCTTTGTTACATGGGGCGACTTTATCATCGTCATGTTTTTGGAGGCTTATAAAGGGGAAACTTTTTTCTTCATGACTGAGAAACTATGTGAGGGTAGAAGGAGGTTTTGGACAAAAAGGAATTCAGGGAGGGATGGTCCTCCTCTGGGAATGGGAGTCCATTTGTAGATGCTGTTGATCTGTGTGTCTCTACTGATGAAGGATGTGTTACAGACACACCTCAAACAGCATTTGCAGTAAGGGACAAATTTCTTCACTGGAAACAAAAGTACTCTGAACTCTGAAGGTCTCCGGAAACTAATTTTTTATAATATTAACTTCCAGCTCTATTTGTTCAGTACATTGTCACTTCCGTCGAAAACAAGACCTTGCTTTGGCAAATCAACAGTAATGAAAATGCTTAAGGACAACCTCAGGTTCACATCTGACTTGGAAATGACTGGGCAGCCAGTGATTGATTTAATGACTTAAGTAGGCTTGTCATTTCCTTTCATCGGTGCCCCTTGGATTTTCATCTGTGATTATAGTCCTGCATTTATTAGTAAGTTCTCATCTTTGTTTTTAAAAGTGTAAGCTAAAGGAATCCTTGATGTGACGTTCACCACTAAGACAAAAATCATATCCGAGGTGGAGAGAAGGCTGAATGTCATCATTACAGTGGAGGGCTTACGGACCTAGGATAGACAGAAAACCTCTCCGTCTTTGAGTCTCATGGTAACATACCACAGAAAACCTCTTTCAAATACTAAGGACAAGAAATAAGTGCTGAAAAGTTAAGATCACAAGATAGAAAAAGAAGTTGCGGTATCTACCTACCAATCTACACACACACACACACAACTTGCTTATATTTATGCCTCTAGAAATGAAAACATGAAATAGAGCATCTTTAGTTTCTTTTTTCCTGTGAGTTTAAAGCACCGTTATCTGGTGAGGTTGGAATGAATGAAATGTTGCCAGGAGGAACAGAATCCTGACAACTGCAGGGATGATTACAGCTCCTTGTTCCATTACGGATGCAAATTTTGCCAAGTTGTGGAACATGAGGCATTTTTAATGGCAGTAAGTCTGCTTTAGCAATAGTATGCCTTACAGAATAAATCAGAACCAACAGAGACATTCATGAGCAACCATGTTAAAATTTCTGACAGTTTAATTACATCACACTGGAGCTCTAGGAACTGAATTGTAGTGTGTTAAGATTCAAACACAGTTCAGTGATGGGACTGGCATTCCTCTACCTGAATTATTTCAAGGATCAAACTTGAAAGCATAAACTTAATGATATCAACCAAGTTCATCTTTACAGACAATCTATCATCTCTAAGTCTCACATTTAAGTGTCCACGTGCAAATATAAAACTGGCTTGCTTTGCGGCGCCTGGGTGGCTCAGTCGTTAAGCGTCTGCCTTCAGCTCAGGTCATGGTCCCAGGGTCCTGGGATCGAGCCCCGCATCGGGCTCCCTGCTCCGCGGGAAGCCTGCTTCTCCCTCTCCCACTCCCGCTGCTTGTGTTTTCCCTCTCGCTGTGTCTCTCTTTGTCAAATAAATAAATAAAATCTTTAAAAAAAACCAAACAACTGGCTTGCTTTAATGGAAAACTTCCATGATGGCAATGAAAGTATCCATTCAAACATTTTCTGAGTGCAGATTCCATCCTACATAGTACATACACGAGTCAAGTATAATGTTTTTTTTTCTTTTCTCAAGATTTCCTTTTTTTTTTTTTTAAAGATTTTATTTATTCATTTGAGACACACAGAGAGAGAGAGAGAGAGAGAATGAGCAGGGAGAGAGGCAGAGGGAGAAGCAGGCTCCCCGCTGAGCCAGGAGCCCGATGTGGGGCTCAATCCCAGGACCCTGGGATCATGACCTGAGCCGAAGGCAGACGCTTAACCATCTGAGCCACCCAGGTGCCCCAAGATTTTCTCACTAAGTAGAAAGTCCTTTGGGTTTAACTAATCTTTTAAGATTCAAAATCAGAGTTATCACATGTATGCATGAGTAGAGGTGAATCAACACTGAAAAATGCTTAATGGCTAATATTTTCTGTGTCAATTATGCTGGAAAAGTTGAAACTTTTCAACTTTTGAATACACCTGACATTCAAGTAACACCACTGGACTCTACGACACTGAGCCAGATTTTTAAATGTCTAAAAAAGTAGCCATACAGGGTGGGAGGGATGGGGTGGCTGGGTGATAGACATTGGGGAGGGTATGTGCTATGGTGAGCGCTGTGAATTGTGCAAGACTGTTGAATCACAGATCTGTACTTCTGAAACAAATAATGTAATATATGTTAAGAAAAAAAAAGAAGATAGGAGGGGAAGAATGAAGGGGGGTAAGTCGGAGGGGGAGACGAACCATAAGAGACGATGGACTCTGAAAAACAGACTGAGGGTTCTAGAGGGGAGGGGGGTGGGGGGATGGGTTAGCCTGGGGATGGGTGTTTAGGGGGGCACGTTCTGCGTGGAGCACTGGGTGTTATGCACAAACAATGAATCATGGAACACTACATCAAAAACTAATGATGTAATGTATGGTGGTTAACATAACAATAAAAAATTATTAAAAAAAGTAGCCATACAAATTAAAAAAAAACGGTAAGATCGGTTCATTTATACAAATATTTATCAGGAGCCCACTGTGTGCCAGGCACTGTTCTGAGTGCTGGGGATATAGCAATAAACAACAAAAAAGACCCACATTATGGAACTCAGTCTTATGGAGGTACATGGTCTAAACAAATAAGTTATATAGGTATGTCAGATGATGAGAAACCTTCAGAAGAGAGGATGAGTGAGGAACCTTTGGAATGGGGAGTCTTGGAAGCCTTCACTGATGAGGTACAATTGGGCCATGAGGCCCACAAGGTCCACGAGTGTGACCCATGTATATATAGGGGAGAACAGCAAACGCGAAGACTCTGAGAGGGGAGTGTGACTGGCTTGCTCAAACACCAAGAAGGTTAGTGTAGACAAAACGGAGTGGCCAAGTATTGGGGAGAGTATGCATCCATCATGCAGGAATTTGGACCAGGTCATGTGACCTGCTTTGGCCAATGGAACGTTAGCAGATGGAGAGGTTTGTAATGTCCTTAGGTGGTTTGGCTTGTCCTCTTGTGCTTAGGTGCTAAAAGGAGCACATTGCCCAGACAGCCTGCTGATCCAAGAAAGATGAGGTAGGCGGAAGAGACCTAACCAACCCACAACCTGGAGTCAAGCCTAGATGAGCTGCAGGAGAACTCCAGCCAACCAAGACATGCGTAAATGAGAAATATGTAACTGGAGAATTTTGTAATTATTTTGTCACACGGCAATAGGTGACTGATACATTCTGTTGTAAGACGTCAAACCAGAAAGAAACCAATATTTATGGGTTTTCTAATCATATACCGATGTGTAGCTACAACAGGCAACCCAGCAATGTATTTAACTCTAATAATACCTGTGCCCACAAGTTCACCCCCCCGAAAAAAAAAAACCTATTTATTTAACAAGAAAATATTCAGTCCCAACTGTACACACTAGGAATTTGGCCAGCCCTTATTCCTACTTCACCGATTCACTGCCTGCTCGAATAGCATATTGCTAATGGTCAAGGGATTTCATACTTAATTAATGACAGTACTTTAATGTTAATCCTTCAATGAGATTCTACTCCAAGGTGATTGCCACAAACATGCCCCCCAGAAATCCTTTTTGAAACATAACCATAGCCTCCACAGCTTGTCTGAAGCTGGTCCAACGAAATGACTGAAACATTTAAAAAAATGAATAAGACAGGATCAAGTTAAAAGAGTACCCTGATGTAGCATAACATGAGATGCTGCTCAGTGAAGAAAAAAGAAGCGAGATGACACCATTTCATCTGAGAAAAAAAGAAATGGAGTGGTTTGCTGTGGGCAAGATATTCTTTAAAGTCTTCTGAAACTCACCATGGTTTTAGGCTTACTTGAAGCAATGATATCCTATCTGACTCAATTCCCATTCCGAGACTGAAATGATAATGGTTCTACTTGCTTAAAAAGGGACTTCAGGGGCACCTGGGTGGCTCAGTCGGTTAGGTGTCCGACTCTTGATTTCAGTTCAGGTCGTGATGTCAGGGTCGTGAGATCGAGCCCCGTGTCAGGCTCTGTGCCGGGCATAGAACCTGCTTGAGATTCTCCTTCCCTCTGCTCCCCACCCCCAATCATGTGCTCTCTCTCTCTCTCAACAAACAAACAAACAAACTGACTTGAGCCAGAACCAATGTAGCGTATGCTAAAAAGACCCCCAAATCCTTATTCTTGTGATTTTGCTGACACCTAAGCAAACTACTTTTCTCTTTATGAAATAGGAGCTATGTATTAAAAAATTATTTTCTCTGCAGAGGGGGGCTGTAATATAAGCAACTATGCCCATTATTTTTCTTTGGATTACTAATCTAAA